ACCCCGGGAGGGACGGCGGTGTCTCGGCGGAAGGCGAGCGCGGGTCGCCCCGCCTTTCCCTCCCTCCCTCCCTGGGCCGGCGGGGAGCGGATCTGCTGAGCGAATGCGGCGGGTGTAACGTATACCGTATGTATATGAGGCGGGCGGGCTGGGGATCCGCTCGCGCCGGTTTAGGCCGGTCGGCTCCTGCTCCAGCCTGGCCCCTGATTGACAGCTCAGCACTTGTTTACCACAGCGGCCGCCCGGCTCGGCGGGACTGCTGAGCTGGCAGAAAGGGAGGAGGAGGAGGAGGAGGAGGAGGAAGAAGGGGGGAGGCAGGACGGGAACTTGTCCGTGAGGAGGAGACATCGCCGTGCTGGGAAATTAGAGCCGCAGCCGAAAAGCAGCGATCGCCTTTTCTCCCGAACCCACCACCCCACACACACACACACACACGCGCGCACCCCACGCCCCCGCCAGGGAAAAAAAAAATAAAAATTATTATTCAAAAATAAAAACGCAGCCCGGCGCGTTTTCCTGGCGTTTATTTCCTCGATGTTGCGCGCTGAAGGTGCGTTTGTGTCGATATAACTTGCCGGTGGGCTCTTACTGTTTTATTCTATCCCTTTTTTTTTTTTAATTTTAAAATATTCTCGGCGCTCTGCAGCGCGCTGCAGGAAGGGGAGTATGGGCATTTCTGCAGGACAATGGAACTTAAAATCCTCCTGTGCGCCTCCATTAACGCTCCAGCCCATTAAATATAATTGGTCGCCTTTCTCATTGTCTCGTTATATCCCCTTTTATTACTCCGGCGCTTTTTTATGCGCAAGATGCTCAGTTATTTTTCTCTCAACTTTCTGTTTTGATGCAGTCAGCATTTTTCTGGGTTTATGGTAAACACGTCAGAATAAAACTGCGAATTTCATGCAGCGTTTAAAGAAATCATGACCATAAACAAAGGTTGGCTTTCTCGGTGGGACCAGAAAATATCCGGATCTTGCTGTCTAAGCACGATCAAGTGAACCTAGCAATAAAATAAAAAAGTTTAGCTGTAGACCGTGTCAGTCGGGCAGCTTGCCATTTTCTGTGCCTGTGAATTTGTCTGGTACTTTCCAGGTGGTGCTTGTACACCTTTTTTTTTTTTTTTTTTTTCCTTCTTTTTTTTTTTTGTGATTAATTTCTGGACAGTGTTGCCAGGCAGGAGATAAAAGGCAGCTGAATTACTAAATTTAATCTTACGCAGCAGACTTTGTGCAGACCACTTAATGCTGTTAAAGAGCCATCTCTGCTCAGTTTTAATGAGGAATCGCAGTGGAAAGCGTGATTTCCATTACGAGTCTTGCAGGCAGGCCTTGAAATGGCAGCAGTTGCAACTGTGTCAGTGCTCAGGGGTGGGAGTCTAAATTAAAGCAAATTAACTTTTGCTTCTGTGGAAGGTGAATCTGGCGATCTCACCCTTTCCGTGGGTAAGAGTTTTCCCTTCATCCCGCAGGTAATAGGAATGGACATGAGACCCTTGTGTCTGGGACACCACGTTCTTAAGTGCTGTAATGAGTGTGTAAATCCCTTTTGTTCTGGTAAAGAAGCCCCATGTAATGTATAAAATCTGTGCAGGTGGAATAGTGTGTTGGTTTTATTTTCTCCCTCCTAGACGATGACAATTCAGAAGAAGGCCTCCACACCATCCATTCGGGAAGGCATGAATATGCATTCAGCTTCGAGCTTCCACAGACGTAAGTGCCTGCACACAGTCCTGGGCCCTGCTGCCCATCTGCCTGAGCCAAACTCCCGCTGTGGGTGGAGGGGAAACCTTTTCAGTGGTAGTAGGAATTGTGCTCCGACATGCAGCGGAGGACATAATCTCATTAAACTGAAGAGGTTGCTTTTAAACCGATACACACTTTTTTTTTTTTCCTCCTCAGTTCAACAAAACTGAAGATCATTGCTGCCCAGTTTCTTTTGACCAAGTCCTACTGACTTAGTGGTCTTTGCATATCTTACTCCTTCCCAAGAGGAGGGAGGAGAATTTAAACCCTGACGGGAGTACTGGCAGAGTGGCTGAGGTACCTTCTAACCCAACCAGCAGTTTACTGGAGCCATGCAGACCAGCAGAACTAGAGATAAGATCAGAGCTGAATTGCCTGGGCTCAGTCTGGAAAAGAGGTGGCAAGTTTAACTGTGTTTGAACAACAGAGGAGGTTGTTCTCCTTTTGGGTGTACATACCCAGGCTGGCCTTTAAGCAGAAAGCCTGGGTGGAAGTAAGCAGGAGGATGGGTGGATGAATCAAGAAGAATTCCCATCCCTAATCCCATTTGTCTCAGAAATTAGTGGTGAAGCAAGAGGGAGAACGGAAACGTTAAGATGTTGTTCCCTCGCCTCAAGTCTGAAATGTGCTATGTAGACATTGTGAATGGAAGATTGATACCTAAAAGAGTTACCAATACAAAAATTGCCTAAAAATACGAGTTGTAATAAAATTTAAATACACAGGAACAGAGAGGGAGTCTTTGACATGGATGGAAAAAGGAGCCTTTTGCTATAAAAGGCAAGCAGTGAAGTCATAAAGGTTGAAAAAAATTTGGCAGTGTGTGATGTGAAATAGCTCAGTACCTAATATTAAAGCTAATAAACCATCTGTTTATTAGAGGTGCTGGTTTTAGCAGAACCTGCAGATGATAAATGCTTTTACGGGTCTGCTTCAAAGTGAACAACACAGGATTTAACAGTAGATCTTACTGGAACAGTGGAGGAAGAACTGTGTACATGGAGATTTTTAAAGACAACTTAGCATTTCTCAACTACAGAAAGAAAGAAGCCTAATACTGACCTTCCCCTAAGTTAGAAGGGACATATAAATCTGAAAAAAAAAAACAGAACATTACCCGTTGGACGTGAAATGCTTGAAGTGAAGCAGCTAGCGAAATACCACAACCGTTGGTCAAAACACAGCTTCTAAGTGACATTAAGGAATTACTGTGAAACCAGCTGTTGATAATACTTGAGAAAACAAAGGCTGATATTAAAAGCCTGAAGTTCTACACTGCCTACTTACTTGTTGTTTTGTGTCCATAGAATACTTCCAAAATTTACTTAAAACTGCAGAGCAACAGTGGAAAGAAAGAAGACACACTGGGCTTACTGATATTTGCCTTAAAGACTGTGGGGCAGGATGAAATATTGGAAGACCCATTAGAAAATCCTTTATTTTTGATTATTGGGGAGGGGGGAGATAAACATTTCAGATGTGCAAATAGAGAAGTCAAACATGTAACTGAAAAGTACTAGCATGGCTAGTTTTATGTATTCCCTGTGGAAGATAAGGAAGCTCTGCAAATTATTTACTTAGTTTATATATTACTGTGTTCAAAACATAGTAAAATAGGAAAAAATTTGCATAAAAGGAGAAAATAAGTTATGGAAAACTACTGTTAATTGGAAATAACTGGAATATAAAGATCTTTTGTCTTTCCGTTTGTGATGTTACAGGATAAAAAGGTGATGCTGAAAGGCTTGGAGATCCTTTCCACATCGTTTTTCCTCCAGCTCCCAAAAAGGACTTTTCATGTGTCAAATTTAAGAGCAGATAGTCTTGATGACTTACATATAATTACATATGTACATCTGTACGTAATACAGATGTTTTGAGCTGGTCTCATCAGGGTAGAGGAAGGCTAGAAGGTATTTAAAGTAGCCTCTCTCTTAAGAACTCTTAAGTTGAAATATTTACTTGGCTTAAGGCAAAACTGCAGAATTGCTGAGTTACAGCTAAAATCAGTCTACGGACACTGAGATACCAGCCAAGTAAACAGTAGACCATGATGTACAAAATACAGTATCTGAACCAGTAACTGGTTGACACTAATGCTAAATTTAAGTTGATAGTCTTAATTTGACCTTAAAAGGGCAAGCTTTGCTCTTAGACGTGAAAGTGGCCTCTTAAGTCTAAAGGAAATGTGTACTCTGCTGGCATTTTCTAGTACAATTCTTTAATTGATTCTTAAAATCTATGCAAAACTATAGTAGGATGAATTGGAGATGATTTCTTCTCCCGCTTTTAATCTTGAATTCTTCTGAGATACGGAAACTTTGCAAATAAGTTACGCTGTATTAAATGCTACAGTGCATTAAAAATGCAGTTCTAGATACTAATCCCTGATCTGATCAATTGTATCATTATTAGACAGACTTTACTCAATTTTGACATTTGTGTCCTGCACAGACCACTTGCTACCTCATTCGAAGGCAGACATGGCAGTGTGCGCTATTGGGTGAAAGCCGAATTGCATAGGCCTTGGTTTCTACCAGTAAAATTAAAGAAGGAATTTACAGTCTTTGAACATATAGATATCAACACTCCTTCATTACTGGTAAGAATTGACAGAATTACTCACTCTTTGTTTCTGGCATAAAAATAAAGTATAACTGAAACAATATCCACATCTAATTTTACCTCTTATTTATTCACTAGTTTAGTTAAAGATTATCTTCTAAGTATTACATCAATTCAGCAACTCTGTGACTACTGGTATTTTGAAAGCTACGTTTTCCCATACTTTGAGTTGCTTTGCTTTTAAAACATGTAAAATGGCTTTGTCAGTTTAAATCGGTAATACTAAATTGTGAAATTGTCACTAAGAAGGAAAATTTTGGGAACTGTTCCTCTTTTATTTTTAAATAAAGAACAATCTGTGGAAGGAACAGTGAAACTTTAAAAGAATATTACAGAGAGAGTCTGCTAACTTAAAAATGCAAAGTAAAAGATGTGCTGATGTGCATAATTGATAATTTCCATATGGATGGTTTTCTACCAATGGGGAGAAATTATCACAGTTCTGCAGAGTCTTTTTCTGAAATGTCATTTCATTGAAATAACTTCAGTACCACAACTGCTTTCAATGACGATTTGATTTCAATCTAGCCTAAAATTCCTCTTGGTTTTTTTCTTCCTCAAATCCTGATCTATGGGGGGTGGGGGGGGATGGGACACACAGACACCCTCAAAGTCCATTTGAAATAGTTTTCTTGTGTGTATGGGTGAAAAATCAGACTTGCAAAGGGACATTGGCCTTGCACAAATTCCATTAAAACCAAAGGACTCCCATTTTGACTTTAATGGTCTTTGGATCAAGTCCTAAATCATGATACTGTGTAAAATAACAAAGTCTGTTTAATATAGATGAAACGGGATCATTCTGAAACAGAGGAAATAGCAGGATTCAAGGTTACAGTACTTTAGCTTAGTTACTGTTTCTGAAATACGGCGTACTGGAAAGATGTTCTAGTTTACTGAAAAATTAAAAGCTCTGCCAGTAATATGTTGGGATATGTAGGCTATAAAGCCTTTTCTCAAGTTACACAGTATTTAAGTATAAAAGCTGTTTTAAGTGTGACTGTGGTATGAAGTGTAGCAGCAAAAGCAGTGTGTTTATGAGTAAAGGGATTAGAATCAACCTTATCTGCATAGTGCCATTGAAACTCCTTGAGTTCTTCCTCTAAATAAAACTGTCTGTGTTTATCAAAATAGGTAATAAGTACATTAGGAGAATTTTCTCTGTCAATTCAAATGCATGAAGGGATTCATGGAACTCTTTAATTAAATGGGCAATCTTGTTCTTTTTTTTTTTTTTTTGCAGTCACCCCAAGCAGGCACAAAAGAAAAGACTCTTTGTTGTTGGTTTTGTACCTCAGGCCCAATATCCTTAAGTGCCAAAATTGAGAGGAAGGGCTACACCCCAGGTACGTAACAGAAGTAATTCTAGGAAATGTTTTTCCTTCCTTTTTAAAATGACAGTTTGTACTTGGTACTTTTATATAAATGAAATATGTAAACTATTCTTATCACCTCAGTCTGCATTCAGCAGTCTTATTGCTGTTTTCTTAACTGCAACTAATGTTGTTCACTGACGCGGGCTGGGTCTCCAGATTGTCAGAGGACACCTGCTCCTATTAGATCTGTACGTCTTTCTTGGAGATCAGCTCCTGGTGATCCTATTCCTGTTTGTGTCAGTGGATGTTTTTTGAGTTAGAGCATCACTAGCAGTACCCAGTGCATTATACACAGAATGTGGCAATTGGCTTAAGATGCCTTGCAAATGTAAAGAGAACATGAAATTTCTGTTTTGTTTCAGGTGAATCAATTCAGATCTTTGCTGAGATTGAGAACTGCTCTTCCCGTGTGGTGGTGCCAAAGGCAGCCATTTACCAAACACAGGCATTTTATGCCAAAGGGAAAATGAAGGAAGTCAAACAGCTTGTTGCCAACCTGCGTGGGGAATCCTTGTCATCTGGCAAAACAGAAACCTGGAATGGCAAACAGTTGAAGATTCCACCTGTTTCCCCTTCAATCCTGGACTGTAGCATAATCCGTGTGGAGTATTCACTGATGGTACGTTGGGTGGTCTGTTTCACTCGAGCATGAGTAGTTTCCGCCGTTCTTGGAATAGCTAGCAAAGCATTCTGTGCCAGCTGGTTACAAAAGTAATGCATATCCTGGGATTAGCCTCCTGTAACTAAATTCCATTTAAATCACACATGTTCTTAAAACAGTTGTGCACCAGCTAAGTGAATGTGTTAAGAGTAGGTGACATTTCCACGTGAGGGCTCATGTTAAGAATCCTGAGCTGGTTCTGACTCGGGGAGCTTTTTGGCTCCATCAGGGCATTGACCCTAAAACTAACAATAAGAAACAAGTTCCGTATGGAACACTCCATGGATAGAGAATTTAGTCTAACCTGATAGTTAAAGTCTAATAATTATGAAGTGCTCATATGAACCTGGATTTTAATCATACACCTCTTCTGTTGTTCTTTAGGTATATGTTGATATTCCAGGCGCCATGGATTTATTCCTTAACTTACCACTGGTTGTTGGTACCATTCCTCTACACCCGTTCGGTAGCAGAACATCAAGCGTGAGCAGCCAGTGTAGCATGAACATGAATTGGCTCGGTCTGACACTGCCCGAAAGACCAGAAGGTAATTCGAGAATGCAAAATCCCAATCATCTTCCTAGTCTGTCTTCATTTTTGTCTGCTTTATTCATGGCTGTCGTGCAAACAGACCCAAATTACATCCTTCATAACAAAGGCCACAGGAAATCCCTTGTGGATGTTTCCTTGCCACCTGCTTGTCCTCTGGAGAAGAGGAGGATTCTCTCCCTGCTTTCCTCTCATGGGCCAGCAGTGAAATCGAACTGCTTGGGAGCTGGCACAAGTGAGAGTGCAGGATGGCACTGTTACCTGTGCAAAATCCATCCTGCCTCCAGTATCCCAGTTGCATCCTTGGTTGCGAGGCATTGTGGTAGTGGCAGTTGACAGCATCCTTTACCAGCCTTAGTAGCCAAGGCTTTGTGAAAAGAGAATGTAAACCATTTTAGTGGAGAAATCTCTTGTTGGAGAAGAACCTCTGTGTCTCACTCCCTCTGTTGTCACATAATCTACTAAACATCCCTTTTTTATGTATGAATCCCAGACTTGAATTTGTGGAGCACAGAGGAATGCAGTGTTATGTCATTCCTGCAGAAATTCAGTATTCTGGGGATGCTTTAAGTTATAAAGCCACCATAAGCAGTGGTTGGTCTGCTCTTGGATTTGAGCATGATCTTGAAGGAAAACAAAGCAGCCTACCATGCCTTTCATGTTCAACAGCTGCTGAAGTCCTTTACGATGATAAAAGTTTTAATATCTATCATGTTCTGTGTTTTGACCTACGTAAGAACTTTTTGGTGGAACTGCATGTGCCTTTTCCCTGCAGCACCTCCTAGCTATGCAGAAGTGGTCACAGAGGAACAAAGACAGTCCAGCCTTGCACCCATAGGTGCTTGTGATGACTTTGAGAGAGCGCTTCCAGGACCATTGTTTGCATACATCCAGGAGTTCCGTTTCCTGCCTCCACCCCTCTATTCAGAAGTAGGTACCTCAGACAGAATATGGTGATTAACTCACTTTTTTTTTCTGAATTCTGTCTTGTGGAATAAACATAGGAAGTTGTTCCTCCTTCCTAAACATCATTATTAAAATGATGCACAGGGTTTAAGGCGACTTCATTTTAGCAAACTGCAGGTGAATTGCATCAAATCGCTTTCAGGATTCTTCACAATCCTGATGCTTCATAGAAATTGCCAAACTGTTGCATACCCTCTTAGCAACTTGATGATTAAAAACTTGGATGAGCTATGTTTGGTTAATTGGCTAACACCAATGGTTTGGGTCTACAGATGCACACCACGTTTTTCAGCTCTACTTCTTTCTAAAACTGCTCTGTGTTTTTGCTTCTGCTAGTAGTTGTTTCAGGAGTTCCATGTAGAGAAGTCACAAAGGGTATTTTCTGACGGGTTTCTCCAGCACTTCTGCCTGCACTTCTACTTCCATGAAAGCCACTCAGTAACTGATGTAACTTCAAGAGCTTTCCATGTTTTGTATTTTTCAGGATAAAGCCAGTGGTACAGGACAGAAGTTAAAATAGTGTCCTTTGGCTAAATCTTGCCTGAATTTACCCACTGTTGATTTTTGTTTTGTTTTTTTCTCTTGAAACACTAATCTGCTGTTTTCTGGGCAGAGAAGGGCATGGCTTTTGTGTTCTGGAGACTCCTTTGAGGACTGTGCTGTTGCTTTACCCTAGAATACAACTCAAGTCCTTTTCATTTTACAGACTTATAGATTGAGAAAGAAGCCATTTTTGTCCTCAAAATGTACAGTTGTATAAAATTAGCTGATAAGAATGTTGACTATGCTGTACAATTAAGCTATTCTTTCCATATCCAGTTTTGGGGACCTAAGTTAGCAGGTTATTCCCCTTCTTCCTCTTGTAGAAAGGAAATGGTAAGATGTGGAACACGTGAACCTGTAACATGTTTCATGGAGTGTTTGAGGGTTAATTACTTGTAAAGTAAAAGCAGAGTGACTCTTTACTGATAACTTTGTCTTTGGAAGCAAAACGCCTTCTGAAATATTTTTCAAGTTACATTTTTAGTGAAGGAGTAAAGTTGTCTTCTTAGTGTAAAATAAATCAGACTTCTGTGCTACTAAAGCAGATTTCTTCAAGTTTTGCATTAGTTCTTCATGCTTACCCTTAAATTACCATCAGCCTGTAGTTTGCATTTTTCCCCTATACCTAGTTATAATTTTTCACTCAAGTTTTCTCTGACTAAAGGTTTTTCAGTTATATGGATAACCTTTGGATTGGGAGTACCATTTATTTCTGTGATTGCCTTAGCCTTGCCGGTTTTGATGGGGTGGTTGTTAGGTTTATTTCTAGGACGGACTCTAAAAATGCCTTGTTTGTGGTTTGTTTTTTTTTCCTCTTTTGGTTAGATTGATCCAAACCCAGATCGACCCACAGATGACAGACCATCTTGCCCCTCTCGTTGAAGGAATCTATCCTGAAGAGTTGACTTCACTTGGGTTTTGAATCATACCTGCCGTGTTGAAGGTCAGGGTGTCATTGTGGAGATATGCTTTCAAAGGAAGTGGTTTTGCTCTTGCCTGTATGGTGAATACATGAAAACAACCTGTGATCGTGGTTTGAAGCCTACAGTAACATTATAGGACTGCTCCACATGCTTGAAGACCTGAGCTCTTTACTTTTTTCTCTCTTTCCCCACCCTACCCCAACCCCCTTAAATACTGGCACATACTAGGAGCAGCCTTACTAACCTACAGTCATGTGTGTCAAAAACACTCAAACCACATTGTAAGAGAGGGAAGTCTTCCTCTTATGATTTGGAAATTTGCACATGTGCACATGCTCACTGCTTACGTTGTGCAGTTCAGTGTCACTACAGCTTTTTTCTCCCTTTATGCTGGACTGTTGTTACCCCTTCTCTTAATTTGTTTGTGGTCCGCACAATAAGGAGCAAAGGAAGGCTTTGGCAAAAAAAAATAACCACCAAGAGCAACAGACTTTGACAAATGCACTGACTTTTTCCTCTTTTTATTTAATGTAGCCTGGACTTTACCTGTATATGCACATGCTCAGAATTGTCCTAGTAGGCTGATCATGTATCACCTCTTCAGCTTGGATCCTATTGTGGATTTATTTACGAACATCAAATGCCTTCAAGCCAATCCTTCTTGCTGTATGTTTTGCAGCCTACTGTAGTAGATAAGCAACAGATGTGGGGATAGGGGGGGGGGTTGCAGAGTTTGTAGAAAAACTTAATAGACTTCCATCAAGATTGTATAACTTCTTGATTTCTTTTAATAATTTGTTGCCTTTCTACTATTCTCGCAAAGCAGCATTTTGTTACAGACTGCCTAAAAATCACTTAATCTCAGGTGAACTCATCACTTGCCAAACTGTTGGAATGCTATTTGTTTTGTTACGTTGCACTGTTGAGTTACTTCTTTTTTTTTTGATTTTTGTGTTTGTGTTTTTTTGTTCTTTGAGAGGGGGATCTAGAATAGGGACATACACAAAAGTTAAAAAATGCACCCTCGTTCATGTTTCTTTTTCTATGTCACCAAAAAAAAGATGTTTAAGTTGTGAAGCTTTAAAAAACAAAAGCAAACAAACCAAGGCACAAATAACAGCAGTACCAGCAGACACCAGCCAAACCTCAAAAGAATTTTAAAAGGAAATAGTCATACACTGTTGAGGTTTCATAGATTGGTATCTCAAGTAGTAGGGATGGGAAGGGAAAGCAAATGTATTTTTATATATAGTTACCTAATCACCAAAAATTCTATATGTAAGGAGTCTCTAGTTGAAAGTATATTTCAAACTGCAGGAAAAGCTTGGACTATGCTAAGAGCTCAGTTTGTGCACTTTGTATTATCTTCAGGGTTTATGATACTGTAAAAAATAGCAAGACTAGAAGTATAATTAAACTGGGCAAGATTAGTGTTACCAGCCATACTCAGATACTGGTTAGCTAGAGTTGCTTCCACAGTTGCATCTTCCATGGTACTGTCTAAGAGCTGTAAAACACAGAAGGGTGGATTCCACCCTGTCCTCATTCAGAATGCAAGAAACGTTGTGGAAACAGCTCTCGACCTTGAGGGTGCCCCAGGGAAGAGGAGTGCAGTGGAGCCACTAGATGAAATACCAGCATTTGTACGCTAGAGATTAACCACAAAAGTCAACTTTTCCTTTTTCAGAAACTATGTAATACAGGCCGTTGACAAAAGGGAACATGCTTCTGGTGTTGGGACTTAAATCACGATGTAATCCATCGAGTATTGATCTCCTTGTGCAATAAAACAGCTCGGAAGGGAGCAGGAGAGGGGAGGCTGGCCTGAACTGCATGGTGCTCCTTCTGCCTTGTTTTTAAGGCTTCATAAATGCGACAAAAGTAGGCTTTTTCCATAAGTGGCCTTCACGAGAACATGAACGGTAATTCATGTTTCAAAAGCGACAACAGGGTGATAAAATGAGTCGCGTTTTAAGTGATTCAGTTAAAAGACTTGGGCTTTTGGCAAGAATATTGGATGGCAAGGAAAGTGGGTGATGTCTTACGTTATTAGGCCAATTTTGTGAATGTCCCTTACTTCTACCCTCTCCAACCAGACAATTTTAAAAGCTGATGGGATCGTTGGCATAAAAGGGCATTTGGTGGTTTTACTTTTTTTTTCCTGTTTTGTTACTTTAACAGACTAGGGAACAATTGCTGATATACATAGCATTAAAGTACTTATTGCAATATAATGGAAAATTGCATATGGAGCAGGATTGACCAATATTGTAATAATTGATGTGGCATCACAGCTTTTGTGATTAAGGTAAAAAAATTCTATATCCTTATCAAATAAAAGACTTAGAATTTAAATTGCGTTGTCAGTTGTTCAGAGGCATTATTCTTCTTCCACAAGTATTGGTCAATTCTCAACGTTATAAAACATGAGGTTCGCAGCTGTAGCCCAGTATTTGATAGATAATTCTGATCTGAATTAGGAAAAAGTAAGTAAAATCCAAACATTAGAGAAACAAAGTGCAATATTAAATGTTTGCTTTATAGATTATATTCTATGGCTGTTTGTACTTTTTTTTTGTTTTTAGTTTTGGTGCTGAATATGTCCTTGTAGACTCTGTTTCAAGAAAACTATGTGGAAAACAGTTTAATTTTTCCTATTGCTCTTCCTTGTGGAAAATAAACTTTTGTAAAAAAAAAAACAAACCCAAAGCTTTAAATTTCATAACTTTCTTATGCATGACCTGAATATGCAAAGCATGTCTGTGTATAAAACAATAACCGTGAGGATCGTGTAACAGGGGGAATGTACTACAGCAACATGTGAACTACTTGTCTTAAATTAGGGGAAAAAAACTTTGTAGAAGTCTACAGCCCTGTACTGCCACAGTCCCCTTCCAGCATCCCCCAGCAGCATACCCTGCGGAGCTGAAAATTCTGAGTTTGTTAATGATGGAGAATCCAGGCAAACTTTTTTAGGCTGTTTCCCCGCCCTATTAATAACGCTGTTAATTTTTGCACAAGTTCTGGTTCAAACCAGTAAGAAACATTAAAAAAAGGTTCTGCTGGTCAAGGATGCCAGTTCACTTGGACACCAGAGTAGGCTGATTTTACTGTTAATTAAAGGATATGACTAATCCCACAGAAAATAAGCAGTAAGAAAAATACAGAATAGTACACTTAGTACATGCACTTAAGCAGGCCAGTGTACCTAACTACTACAGGATGGGGAGAATAGTGTTTAAGAAAGATACATTCCCATTTTCATATGTTACTGACATCCAAATCCACAGTCACTGGGCAGCTCCTGTTGCAGTGAGTGTTTGGAGAACCTTTCCAGGCATGTGGGAAATCCTATGCAGTGTGTCCACCCGTAGGTGAGGCTTCTAAAGTCGCTACAAGTGGGTCCAGCCTTACATACCCAAAAGTCAGCAAGCCAGAAGAGCTGGCACCTTTGTTTTGCATGGAAATATCTGGTTTTATTCTGTAGGATTCCACCCAAAGTCTGGCCAGAGCTCATGGGGGAGAACCAAGGGAGGGTCTAACAAGGCCAAACTCTTGGGTTCTCGGCCTTGAACATTCAGCATTTCATCCTCACTACTGATTATATTGTGTCTAAACTACATCTTTGACTAGTAAGCATACACATGTCATTAATGATCAGACACTAATAATTAATCACTAATTGTAATACAGATTTCACTAACAGACAATAATAATGGGTAGCGTTTAGTCGTGAGGTTCGTCTAGAGGTCAACTTTTGGCCCTGGTACTACAGGTGGTTTCTCATTTCACTCATCCACTTGGAGCTCCATAGCAGAGTGACAATGGAGTATTTTTCTCAAATACCAGCCTAACCCTTCTTGGTAACCCAAGTTCCTAGTGCTATGTGGGAGTGTTAGAATTTAAATTAACATCAGCATCTTTTAAGGGACACACACTCCCAGCAGTTCTGTGCAACTTGACACCTTACCTTTTTTAGAACAACGCAGCATTTTCTTGAAACCTCACGTTTTCTAGACCAGCACCTCTACTTAATTAATTTAAGCTTAGGTTTATCACCAGTATTATTATAAAGTTGCGAATTACCACAGTTTTATTATTTGAGATCTGATTTCCTTTACTGCAAATGTTTTTTTATTTCTGAATATTAAAATACTTAGGCACATGTACAAGTCTGTGTTACACCAGGATGTAAATCTTAACGGCTCTTCCACATCAGCTGTGCATAAAACCGTACAGAAGGGCAGCAAGTTAACAACGCTTGAGCCCTTGAGCTTCTGAGAGATGCAAGGCGATGGTCACTAAATTGATCCAACACGTTTTCTGGAAATTAACCCAGCTAAAACGTGTATCTAGTGCTTTTTAACCCCCTTCTAGATTTAAGCCTTTTTGTGTTTTACAGAAGTGAACTGCTCACTTGCCATAAACTCGAGGCACCTTAGCTTTCCACAGCAAGGCCACGAGCACCAAGCCCAGCCGCAGAGTTTGAAGGAGGGTCTCCAGAAGCTGCACATGAAGCTGAACATCCACCCAACAACGGCTTTCCACGGAAAAATGTCAATCCTGCTGATTTTAACCAACTCCTGTGACTCAAGGTAAACAGCTATGGGCAACTCTACAGACAGTCAAATAAATGCCCAGCGTGGATTTTTGTGTTGCAGGAGGACAACTGGACGTGGAGTCCACACTTCCCACGTGTCATGAATTTTTGAGGGGATCCCCCCCCCGTCAGAGATCCACAGAGAGTTGAGGATGTGCCAGGAATTGCACTTGCATGCCCGTCACTGTGGATTTCAGCTCCTAGATTCTGTTTTTTTAGTGAAAGCCACTTGCAAAGGCAGATTGTCAGGCGTGTTCGACCTGCCGTCCAGACTGTCTCCTGGAAATAGGAGAGAATTAACCTGTTTCTTCTCCCAGCAATCATTCACTGCTGGAACTCCCCCACCTAGCTACAGCATGCTATTTTTAGAGCTGGATCTCCCTATCTCCTGACCTAGTGGACATTAGGACAGAGCGGTAGCTTCTGAGTAGAGGCCAGGTGCTGCCACGAAATCGGAGTGGAATGGTGTACCTCTCGTCTAACCCAGCTCAAAACGGGGAGGATTCAAAGTTCAGAAGGACACTGCATTTTGAGTTTGCTTCAGGCACCTTGCTATGATAAATGTTTGTCGTATTTGGATGAAAGACGGTGACCTAGAACAGAGAAGGCGAGAGCTTTAAATAGAACATTAAAATTGAGTTGTTTAGGAGATATATTTTTGGGGGGGGTAAGAAGATACATTTTTTTTTTTTTTTTTTAAAAAAAAAGCACATTCAGAAACTAATACCAAAGTGCAAAGCCTGGCACTATGCGTGCATTCTCTGCCACTCCAGCAGCAGAGTCTGGTGTCTTCTACAAGAAAAAACAAAATCTCTAAGATGGTGCATTCTGTCTACCACAAGCAGCTCCCTGCAGCGTTTCCAGCGCTTCCAGCGTTTCCAGCGTTTCCAGCGTTTCCAGTGTCCAGGGGACACTGGAGGGAACAACCAAGAGCACAGTGGTCCCCATTGCTTCCATGCATCCCTGCCGAGGGACCCTCACCACCCCCCTCGAGTCTCGCACGCCTTTGACTCGCCATCTCTCCACAAAATGCTTGGGGATGGGGAGGCCAGGAGCCATTAGCTGTTTACTAGTTTAATAAAATTATTTCTAAAATGAAGTTATTTCTAAAATGAACTGACGAGTGCAACGCTGTTCAGTCTTTCTCAAAGGAGATATACTTTTGTTCACAGCTGGATACACAGAGGGAACATAGGAGGAGGGGAGAAAATACTACAAAATCTAATATTACTTACTTCTATCTGAAAATTATTCTAATTTCCCAGATCTAAGCAAGGCCTTGTTGTCATTGCACTGCCTAGAATCAAAATGAAACTTCCCGCTAGAGATGATCATAGCAACACTCAAGTCAAATCTGCCACAGTTGCCCATCAGCTAAGAAAGAGAATTTAATAAACCCCTCTGTGGTTCGGTAGCTCTGTGAAAGGTGTGGAACAATCCCTGGGGAATGACTTCTGATTAACAAATGACTTTTTTATTATTTATACCCTTGTTTGGGGGCCTACCCTAAATCAGCTGAAGTCTGTCAACACTGGTCCGTTTCTTCTGCGAGCAGCCCATTTTTCCTGGTTAGAGTTGCTAAGAGAATAGATCACCGTAACATCTTCAGCTCCAATTTCAAAAATTATTTCAGTATTAAATACGTGGTATAAACAAAGAGAAACCTGCGTCAGGGTTTTACGGCTATTTAATTATCTCCCATAAATTAAACTAAATGGTCTTCTTACCTATCTTTTAACAGGCTAAGACAGCAAAGACAGTTTTACTGCTGCCCATTATTTTTTTAGTGCATCAAACACCATTTATTGTGACAGAGTTGCACACCTCTAAAGCAATAAAGCGATTCATCAGTTGTGCCACATAAAGCTATCCTTCCCAACAAAACAAATGAAGAAAACAATACCTGGCCTATGCAGAAGTAGAACCATGTAGTATAAATTAACTCTCCAACCACGAGTCTGTGCTTATTTTCCTTCCCAATTTTTCCCTCCTTTTTCCCTTATAATTCAAAGTAACTCAGAGCCGGTGACAGTCTTCTCTTAATCCCTTCACTGTCTTCCCTTGCCTGTATTTTATTGAAACTTTTTAACATTTCAAAACATATTTCTTTTCGTGCTTGTATTTGCTCTTATATCCTATAAAGCCCTTATATAAAGCTGGATTTCCTCAAAGAAAATGCCTTTCATCCACCTTTTTGACCTGAAATGCCTTCCCAGAATGCACTTGAGAAGCCACAACACATTT